AGACAAACTGTACCTCTCCCCATGTCTGTAACCTGCCCTAAATGGTATATAAGAAAGGCCCCCTTTGTTCTGGGGACTCAGCCTCTGGACTTGAGTTTGCTGAGCCACTGCCCGGCTTGCTTGATAAACTTGCTTTGGTTCCCTCTCAGTCTCTGTCTGAGCCCTCCTGTGACACATGGACTCCTTACTTGGACCCACAAATTAACTAAGAGTAAGAGAAAAGCATGGTATCTGTCCTACATTTTGTATCTGTCTTTGCTCAGAGACATTCTCTCTGCAGTCACCTTGCAACCACCTGGGAATAAAGGAAGGACAGGAATGATCCATAATATCTTCATAACAGGGGATGGAAACTACCCCCAAAAGTAGACTCTCCTTTGGACATAACACCAACCCTCCAAATTAACAACTCCTAGAACAAAGACTGAGATAATGGCCAAACAGACCACACCTGTGACTGAACTGTTTAACTATCCCTACCTTTTGTCTCTGTCCCCAGTTCTTTACCTAGCTCATGTCTGTACCCTGGAAGATGGCTGAAGATGGGTTGGGTGCTTACTCTGTAATAAACCTCCTTTCTCTGCCTTCACCATGCTTCTTTGGCGTTTAGGGGCAGAGAGCCAGCCCTGGTTGGTATGTGGAATCCCAGGAGTTTGAGCCTTGGGTCCAAAAAACATTTAACCTCATACATCCAAAATACCACTCACACTATTTCACAAAATTAAGTCTTCTAAAAGGGTGCGCGCATTTACAACCCATCTCTCTTTAGCCTAGCCACATTTCAAGAGCTCAGATGGCACCTGTGCGCAGTGGACAGGGCAGCCAGGCGCAAGGCCTGCTTCAGACAGCACCATCTTGGGGAGGGCGACTTGCATAAACCCTTCCTCATTCGGCGCTCAAGCCCTGGATCCTCGATATCTTGACACCTGGAAGCCAAACTCCTTGCGGAATCCAGGCTTGAATCGAGAAATCGCCTTTCCGGCCACAATCGGGCCTGTAACGGGCGGTTATTAAATTCGAGGTAATTAATGAAGCTACGTGCAGGGGAGACCCGATGGGCGGCTCCGGGTGCAGAATGGTCCACTGGGCAGAGCGCTGGACGCGGCCACCGCAGCCAGGCAGGCGCCGAGGTCCCGGCTGGGCCGGCACGGGTCTCGGGACGGCGGCCCTCCGCCACCCTCCCCCTCCTGTCCCCCGTCTCCCCTCCCCTGCCCCACCCCCGCCGCCGCCGCCGCCGCCGCCGCCGCCGCAGCCGCCGAGCCCCGGAAGCGGGCGGGGATTTCCTGTGCCCGCCCCCCAGCGCCCGCCGGGCCGCCGTCGCCGCCTGTCGCTGGCTGGGCCGGCCGCCGGCTCCGAAGCGCCAGCCGAGGGCGGAGGGGAGGGGCAGGCGGCTCCCGGGAGGGAGGCAGGCACCCGGCCGCGGGCCAAGCCGACCCGGGGTGAGTGGGGCCCGTCCGGAGGGGACCGCGACCGGAGGGAGGGGCGCCTGGCTTCCCGGGAGTCGGCGAGGGCTCGGTCACCCTTGCGGGCGGGCGGGCGGGCAGGAGGAGCGCTGCGGCCTCCGGGCCCCGCTGACATTTTGCCTCGCGCCCTGTTCCTGTCGTCGCCGTCAGGCCCCGCCGGCTCCCGCCGCTGTCACTCGCGCACAGTTAACCTGGTGGCAGCTCTTCGCCTCACTTGCTCCTATGCTCCAGCTCCTGGGGAAGCCTGTTTTCTGACCTCACTTTCCCTGCTCGGATTCTCTGAAATCTGACCCTCTCCTGGGGCACTGTGACAAGAAGGAGGGAAGAAGCAACCCTACTGCCAGGCAGGCTCCTGTCCCGCCCCATGCCCCACCCGCGGCAGAGGCCAAGATTCGCCACTTGTCCCTCTGCCCTTGGGCCACTCTTTTTGATAACGTGGCTCTTTTTCTGGCTAACAACACTAGATGCAAAAACTTATTTCTGCAGATGCCTTGCCACCCAGACACATCAGGAAAAGGGTGTGTGGCGGGGAGGGGGAATGAAAGCCCTAGAACCCAGACCCCAGTAGGCATGGGATTATCTGGAACTAGGAAGAACCAGGTTAGGGCCACTCCCTTAAGAGTCCAGGTGCTGGCTCTGCCATGAACGTTTTAGGAACTGCAGGCCTGGGACAAGGACCCACCCCTTCCTTTGCTGAGATTTTTTGCTAGCACTTCCACAGGAAGTTTACAGTTGGCCCAGTGCACTCTGCAGAAAGACGATTCTCATCAAGAGACTCTTCTACTGAGGGAGATGAAGAAATGGGTTTGAGACGTGGTGTCCAGATAGTTAGCTAGAGGTGAAGACATGGGGGGAGGTTTGGCCAAAGGAGCCAGAGAACAAGGAATATTTAGGGCGAAGATAGGGTATTGGTACCCCATATGTTAAAAGTGAAGAAAAGACAGGGTTGGAATTCAGAGAAAATGGAAATTTCTCTATTTTATTGCTGTATTGGGAATTTCTCTTTCTCATGAGAAGTCTCTGAAAAGGAAAGCTAAGATGGGAATGGATTCAGGGTGCTCCCATGAGGCCCAGAGCCATCTTTGGACTTCTGAGATGAAAGGGAAATTTGCTGTTCTTGTTCATTGGCCTTGGAATTCCACCTGCCTTTTTTTGTCAAAAACAAGTCCACAAGAAAATAAAGGATTTGACATCTGTTGGTACCTATCCTGGTCCTCTTGCAAATGTCATTGAATAGATGTGAGCCCAGACCTGTTCTGGCCTGTTCTTGGAAGTCTTTCACTGGCTCTGACTACTTGGGTATTGAATAAAAGTCACAAAAGTATGTCACCAAGAAGAAAGAAATTCTGCAGAGTCAGATTATTTCTCCATTGGGATTTGGCCTGCTCTAAAGATGTCTGGAGAAAAGAAGAGCCCACAACTCAATCTTGTGCACTGTACCATTATTAAGAATTTTTCTTATCTAATCTAAATCTCTTCTCTTGAGAGTTAGAGTCCATTTCTTCTGTTTCATCTCCATAAATATATTCATCACTTGTCAGCCTTCTTTGCTTGATAAGAGAAAACTATTTCTGTTTTTATCTTTTCCAGTGGCTGGATTTCTATCCCTTTCTTAACTTCATTTCTTTTCAATGAATACACACTGGTTTTCCATACTGTTCTTTAAAACTGAATGTATTTTTCTAATGAGTTATGACTGGTGCCTGCCAAACAAACAGGTGTGTTTCTTATCTCAAATCACAGGGCTGTTTATTCACCCTAGGCTCATGTTAGCAGAACTGCTTCTCCCTTCTCCCTTCTCCATCCCTGGTCCAAACTCTTTCAATTCTCATTTACTTTTTTTTAATTAAATGTCAGCTCCATATTGGCCAACAGTTCCTCTTATCTTTTGGGGTTGCTTTGGAGATTTATGTCTGTTTTCCAAGTTACTGGTCTTTCTACCATATTTATGTAGGTTCTCATGAGAGTGACAGATCATGTGTCTCTTTGTTGAGGTTTGTCCTAAGTGAGGCACCATTTGTTTCAGCCTTAAAAAAAAAAAAAAAAAAAAGCTGTGTCATCATAACACATATACCCCTTGGCTGGAATCACTTCATTATAAACTAATTGATGAGGGTGTGACTTGTGGCAGAAAATGTTACATTTAATTATATCCTTCTTTGTTGAAAGCAGGTCTATGTGCATTCCTTCCTGATTGCTTACTTTCCTGTACTTTTAGTGGTTGGAATAAAATGGATAGCCTTTGGATTTATAGGATTAATGAGTTTCTTTCAGCCTTCAAGGATTTTTTTTTTTGTACTATTGAGGTCCCCAAAGTAACAGTGACTCCACTATATAGCACCTGCCAATATCTTAGTTCCTCTTAGAAATCTGGCTCAGGCTCAGTTGATTGGAACATATCAGGCTTTTAAAGTTTACTTTCCATCAAGTTCCTCTTACCTCGTTTCATCTTTTATCCCTGGGACTGTTCTCTATAACTTCTTTAGGAGTATCATCCCTTTCCATTTTCATGGGCATAGCTAACATTGATTTGTTCCAGGTCACAATTTGGGCTTGCCACGAAAATGCTTTCAGAACAGACAGCAGCCTTGGGGACAGGATGGGAGTCAATGAATGTACAGCTGGATGGAGCAGAGCCCCAGGTGGAAAGGGGAAACCGGGAAGAGGGGCCATGGAGAACAGCACCAGGGCCACTGGAGCACCTGTGTTGTGACCTTGAAGAGGAGCCACAATCCCTTCAGGAGAAGGGTGAGAGACCACAGGGTGGAAAGCACAACCATAGAGTAGTCTCCTAATCTCAGTTCAAAGAGTAGAGATAAATAATCTCTAAATTGCTATGGACCAAACAATATACCCAATATCAGGTCTAGTCCATTCTTCCTGGGCCCTGCTCTCAGGTACAGAATAGGCGCCTGGATGCTCCAAACAATATAACCGGGTGGCCCTGTTTCATACATAATCACTCTTTCTATGTGCAAGTGGTAGCGACTGATTACTGTTGGAGAATACAGCCAGTAAGATTCACTTTACTAGATGAAAATTACATCACGTTCAAGTAATATAAATTCAAGCCACAGCTAGTCTAACTAAAAGCCATGTAATACCCTTACAGAACATTTCAAGTGAAGGTCTCTTTATCTACATTTATGCACTTGAGTTTTAACAATGGGCATAGATACAGGAGATGAGACCCTTTAAGCTCCTCTAAAATGGGGCCCAGGTACATATTGGAAAAGGGTGGATAGTTCATCTGTAATGGTTCTTCTCTCCCCTCACCAGCTCAGTCTGCTCCCTGGGTTCCTGCAATTCCCCAGGAGGGGAGCACCGGAGACTGGGAGATGGCAGCTGCACTTCTTGCAGCCGGATCACAGGTGGGCTGTGTTTCCCTTGGCCTCTCCCAAAGTCTCATCACAGTTGCCCTTCTACAGCTTTGGCATCATTCCATTGATATGTTAGTTCACATGAACACTAATGGTATGTTCATCTTATAAATGAATAGATTCTATCCCTTTCTGAGGGGCACATAAGATCCTTAGGGTTTTTTAATGGATGGCTTTGTTATCCACAGGGGGGATTTTAAGAACAATTAACTTCCTTTAAGAAAGAAATCTGAAGCCAAGCATGATGGCATATGCCTGTAGTCTCAGGTACCAGGGAGGCAGGAGAATTACTTGAGCCCAGTTTGAGGCCAGTTTGGACAACAGTGAGACCTGGTCTTAAAAAAAAAAAAAGAAAGAAAAAAAATTCCTGGTAAGATTAGGGAAAGAGGACCTGAAAAAAGCTTGGATGAACATAAAGTGAACAGGATTGGGTAGATGATGAAACATTTAGAGAAGAGAAAAAGAAATATGTAAAGGGGCAGAACCAGAGAGGGAAAATATGTCTAGATTCAGAAGGCAATACAATATCCATGGAAAGATAATAATAATAGTTGGGGCTGTACTCCCAGAGTCCTTATCATGTATGCTCTCTTCTGAGTGCTATATGTAATTAATTTAATTCTGAGAACAACTCAATCCCATTTTTACAGTGAGAAAATTGGGGCGCAGACAGATTAAGGCACTTGTATAACATCATACTCCCAGAATTGCGGTAAAACTAATAATCATTTAGCTCCAGATTCTAGGCCTAATCACCTTATGGTGCCACCTGAAAAGATAAGGATATAGTATAGTAGGGGAGGTGAGAAAGGATATTTTATTTGTATCATTTTGTGTTGATAGAAAAGGAAAGGTCAAGTGAGAGATGATACAGAATCTCTACAATAAAAAGAGTAAGGCAGGTAAGAAAAGACTGAATAGATACCTGTAATTAAACAGAGGAAGTGATGAGTTTGTGGTACCTCTGACTTCTCATGGTCCCATTTGGGAAACTCCTCTAGTGACATTCCCCTCACCCCTTGACCTCATTTCTTTACTCCTCTCCTCATTTCCAAAACTATGTGGTTTACCCAGGGACTTCAAATCCTCTTTTGCCCTCTCTCTTCTACTACTTCTACCTTTCATACTGAGATCACATTTTCTATAAGGAGCAGCTGCTGACAGAAGTTGCTGTATTTTGTTTCAGGGTCTGGTAACCATCAAGGATGTGTCACTGTGCTTCTCTCAGGAGGAGTGGCGGAGCCTGGATCCCTCTCAGACAGACTTCTATGGAGAATATGTCATGCAGGAAAACTGTGGGATAGTAGTCTCTCTGAGTAAGCATGACTTTGCTTAGCTAGTAAAAGGTTGTACCCTGGGAGGAGGGAGTCTTCTGCTTCAGGGCTATTGGATAGTGTATGGGGTGTCTTTCCTTGGTAGATATCTGTCCAGGCTTCCATCCTAACCCCAAGAGAATAAAGTGAGGGATTTTTTTTTCCAAATAGCAAATAATGCTGAATTATAGAGTAAAAAGCTTGGTTGGGAATTGGCAGGCTATTACAAACCAGAGACAGAGACATCTGGAACTAGGTCCTTGGAAACTTGGAGGAGCTGGAGGTCCAGGGGCTGAGACAGTTGTAGTAAGACTAAAGTAGACTGTAACTAAACTTATGACCATAAAGGATGGTGGGGCTGGAAAGATTTGAGTGGAAGAGAACATATCTCTTGGGTAAGAGTGTGTGATTTTATAGGACAAAGAAGATAGACTTAACAGAAATAGTAGGGTGCAGGAGGCTTGTACCTGGCCTTTTATCTAGAGTTCCAATGAATAATCTAGGAGTCAACGGTTTTTCACAAATATAGAATTGCTATTGAACTGACATCTCTATTTTCTTTTCTCATGAGCAGGATTTCCAATTCCCAAACTGGACATGCTTTCTCAACTAGAAGGAGGAGAAGAACAATGGGTCCCTGACCCCCAGGACTTAGAAGAGAGGGATATTCTGAGGGTCACATATACAGGTGAGGACTTAGAATAGACTTTCAGTCTTGGGATGTCGTCATTACATTCCCTCCCCACCCCGGCGTCCCCTTTTCCCCCAGAAGGTTTAGAGATTTTTTTCTTCCAAAACAAGACTGTAGCAGAAGAGTTTAGAAGGCAGGCTCTGGAGTCAGACTTTGTGGATTTGGATTCTGGACCATACCTGTGGGACCTTTGGTTTCCTTATCTATAAGTTGTGAGATTTTACTATGTTAACGTATAACAGTAGAACAGTGCCATGCACACAATAAACACTCAATAAAAGTTATTATTATAGCTGACGCTGTTGTTCAACCTCCCACTCATTTCAGGGACACCTTCCACAATGTCTTTGGTATTGTTGACAGATGGTCACTCAGCCAGTAATGATTGTAACACCTTCCTTCACTTTCTTTTTCTATTCTTAAGCAAGAAGATTGTGATTCATAGTAATAAGCAACAGTGAATGAATAATATTAATTAATTAAATAAATAATAGCATATACCATTTTCTAAGTGTTTACTCTGAGTAGATATTGTGCTATTTTATGACAACTTTGAGAGAGGTGTTACTATTTTTGTTTTACAGGAGAAGAAATGAAGGCATAGAGAAGTTAAGTGGGCTATCTGAGGTTAAAACTTCGCTAATCTGCTCTTAAGCTTAGGCTTTTAAAACCTCTGTATTTATTTTCCTATCTTGTACATGAGAACATTGTTCTGGGGTGAGGTTTGGCATCATACAACCTCACCTGAGATTTGGGTCCTGGGGTACTGTCTTGTCACTCCCCTTTCAGGGTTTGTATTTTCTCTTCTGTTCAGGAGATGGAAGTGAACATGAGGGGGATACCCCTGAACTAGAAGCAGAACCTCCCAGGATGTTATCCAGTGTGTCTGAAGATACTGTCCTCTGGAACCCAGAGCAGGATGAGAACTGGGAGTCCATGCCCAGAAGCTCCAGAGGAGTGCCTCTGGGCCCACCTTTTCTTCAGGAAGAGAGCTTCTCAAACATTCTGTGCAACACAGAGATGGATTCCCTGTTAAGACCCCATACATGCCCCCAGTGTGGGAAACAGTTTGTGTGGGGCTCCCACCTTGCCAGGCATCAGCAAACACACACTGGCGAGAGGCCCTATAGCTGCCTCAAGTGTGAGAAAAGCTTTGGGCGAAGACATCACCTAATCAGGCACCAGAAAACCCACCTACATGACAAGCCCAGCAGGTGCTCTGAATGTGGCAAGAATTTTCGATGCAACTCCCATCTGGCCAGCCACCAGAGAGTGCATGCAGAAGGCAAATCCTGCAAGGGCCAAGAGGTTGGAGAGAGTCCTGGGGCTCGGAAACGGCAGCGTGCCCCACCAGTGCCAAAGTGCCATGTGTGCACAGAATGTGGGAAGAGCTTTGGCCGAAGGCACCACCTAGTGAGACACTGGCTGACCCACACCGGGGAGAAGCCCTTCCAGTGCCCTCGCTGTGAGAAGAGCTTTGGCCGAAAACACCACCTGGACAGGCACCTACTGACCCATCAGGGACAAAGTCACCGGAGCAGCTGGGACAGAGGGACATCTGTCTTTTGAAATCTGTTTCCACTGCAGCTATGGTCAAGTCTATCAGCCGGTGCTACCAGTAGTCACTGCCAGGGCTGCCCCTCTCCACCCCAATGGCCCAGAACCATGAGCCCAACACTATCTCTAGAGAGAGGACGTTCCAGCATTGGCCAGAGCATTTCTCACCAGTTCTGTGAGATGACACATAAAACCGAGTTCTTAGGGCAAAATTTTGGGAAGCAATGCATACTATATGGGCTGTTGTTCAGCTTGAGCCCATTCTCAAAGGTACAAGGGAACCAGCAGTTATGGCTGAGGTCCATTTTCATTGATTGGAATCTATGCCATATCAGTTAAATATTTTGAGTATCACTCTTGTATACCAATAATATTTTCTCTCTCTACATATGTATGTATACATATATACTACATAGAGAGGGAAAGTCCATTTTAGTATAGTAAAGGGTCTGAAAACTTCTGCAGTAAGCGGTTTAGCTTCTGTTAATGCAGTGTTTCCTAAATTTGTTTGACCTTAATATCCTTTTTATTTTCCATTCTACAGAACTGATGACTCCATGAAACATACTCTGGTGAACACTGGGTTAGAAAATAATGAGGAAATAGGAAAGAGATGGTGGTCAGGCAGCCAGAGCCCCCATTTTTATCCACATGAAAGCCAGGGGGTCAGATGTTCCTGTGTGGGTCTGTCACCTTTCCCCCATTATCATATATACATCTAACCCCATCTGCTGAAAAATATTTTTCACCTCCTTTTTCCTACTACCTTCTCTAGCACATACATATGTCCAGCTAAGAGATCACACTTCAGTGCTAAAAGATGGACCTTATACCCTCAAGTAATCCAGGCCCACACAGAAGAAAAACTTTTTCCCTTGAACAGACCCTTCTCTTCTTGACTGTGTCTTTATGTGTCTGTGTATATGTGTGCAGGGTCTTTGAAGAGAGCATGCTCAGTGCAAACTGTACAAGCTAGATTTTCTAGGGATTGTGTTCTGGGAATAAGGGTAGTGGGATTGTGTAGGGCTTTTTGTTTGTTTTGTTTCAAGATAAGAAGTAATTTGAGTGATAAAGGGAGCCCAAGTGGAAACTGTTCAATGATGGGTTCAGTTGTGTACAAAGTTTTCCCCAGAATCTTTGATGAAGATAATTGTGAATTTACATGTCTAGGTCTGAATCTCTGAGCTAAAAATTGTTTTCTACATGGGAGAGAGAAAGAGAAGTTCAGTGAGGTGAGCTATTTTTTGTTGAGTTCAGGCAAGGTACATATAACATGTTTGTGCTAAGTGGGTTTTTTGATCTTGTCTTGTTTTAAGTGCTGGAAAATTAGGACAGGAATTACAGTGTTTGGAAATTGTTACCATACTCTTGTTTGACTTTGATTGCCTTATTAAGGGGGCAGAATTATTCTTGAGGATCTCATTTCCCCAGAACCAGAATTTTAGGGGAGAAGGCTGTGGCTTAACTTCTCAGCTGATGCTGGGCAATGAGCTTTATGATTTGTCCCCAGTGCTGGGAAGGTGCTCACACTAGACTCTTAACTGTAACGAGCTCACACTAGGGCTCGTATACATGTTCCAGCATCTGTTAGTTGGTAAGTTGGTCATTGCTTCTCTACATTGATAACTGTGTTAATACCAGTCTATAATTTAAAAATTGTCTTGTATGTAAGAGCAGTTTAGGGTTGAGGGAAGAGAAGCAAAGAAGATGAAATGAAATACTTTCTCATTAATGCTTAGATTCTGGCTTTTCCCTAAAACACTTACCTTTCAAACACAATTGGTGGGATTAGCCAGGCAAGAGGAAGAGAGTTACAAAAGTGTAGTGACTTTCCATCTGCTTAGGAAAAACTGGGTGAATCACAGCTCCTCAGAGTCCTGGCCTCAAGAAGAATTGAAAGTAGGGTCATTTTGCTGACTGGCTTCTTAGAATATATGTGACTCCTTCCTTCTACCAAGAGCAGCCTTCCTTTGCCTGGAACGCACTTCTCCTGTTTATGTTCCTGATGAAGTAAGAAAAATGGCCAATCCTTTGCAAGCAGACCTTACCCTAGATTCTTATAGACAGGAGTATTTTCAGATTAGTATTAGGAGATATCCAAGGGAACAGGGAATATCGGGTTCCAGTGTTAAAACTGGACTATGCCATTTATTTGACTCCCACTTTAAGTATTTAATACAAATCAGCTCTATATAAAACTGTCTATAAGGAATATGTTTTGGATCACAGACTTATCTGAGAATCTGATAGAAAACAAAAACCCACTTTTGGGAAAAATAGACAATTAAAATGCAAGCAGTTTTGTATAAATGTATAACAGGTTCAGAGTCTATTCATGGAATCACTGAAATACAGTCAAAGAGATTTACCCTGACTCAATAGGTTATTGTGTCTGTGACAAGAATTACAAGGCAAGGGTCACTCAGTATTTTAAGGACTAAGATGCCTGCGGTATCAGGTATGAGGAGAGACTTTGGTCTTTAATGACTAGAAAGACATTGCTTACATGTTTTTAAGGAGGATCTGGCATGTTGATAAATCCAGCTCCTCACAAACTTTGTTTAAGGGCATGTGGGGGTGATGTTCCTTCCTATCCAGTCATACCTCTTATTAACTACATGTTACCCTCCAGCCTTTTATTTATTTTAGTAACTGTAGGGATAGTAAGTGTAGGTGCAATTATAGCACCCAGCTGAAAAGCATCCTGGAGTCTAAGGGCTTTCAGAAGGGGGCTGTCCTTTTGGGTCATTTCTGGTGTACTATTGTCTTCTCTACCTCGGTCCAGCACCACCTCTTTTGGACAAATAATAAAACATGCAACAGCCATCAGACCAGTGAATAGATTTCAGTGATTTTTCCCACAGGGAATTAGCCTCAAACTTTCATTCATCCAACTGCCTTCTGCCTCATGGCCACCCGATCCCTTTTAGATAAAAATCGTTTCTGTGTCCTCTTTGGGCAAACTGTAAAACAGAGAAGTCTCTTCAGAAATGTATCGTGTTTTTCCATTTGTGCAAAATGTGAAAGAGAAGTCTCTTCAGAACCTATCATGTTTTTCCATTTGTGTTGTCTCTACCCTTTTCTGGGTATCCTCCCTTTTTACTCCAATATGTAAGGGATTTCTTGCATAGAATAGAAGAATCTAACCTAAAGTGTTAGTTCTTTCCAGGGCCATTTATATTTTAAGCTTTACCTTTAATTGTGGGAGGAAATGCTTATAGAAGAAATATTGTGGGCCAAGTGCAGTGGCTCATGCCTGTAATTCCAGCTACTCAGGAGGTAGAGATTGGGAAGATTGCAGTTCAAGGTCAGCCCTAGCAGAAAGAGAGACCCTATATCAATAAGCCAGGCATGGTGGTACACACCTGTGATCCCAGCTCTGTAGATAGGAGGATTGCAGTCCAGCAAAACATGAAGCCCTATCTGAAAAACAACTAAAGTTCAACTGTGACTCAATTTGTAGCGTGCCTGCCTAGCAAGTAGAGGCCTTTGAGTTCAAACCCCCCAGTACTACCAGAAAATGAAAAAAAAAAAAAAAAGCCTTCTGGGGAGCAAAGAGAGTGATAGTTTGGGACAAAATTCCTTTCTTTTCAACACTCCTGCAATCAAACCATTGTTTCCTTTTTCCATCAAGGGCAAGAGAAGCCTTGACTCAGACCCAAAAGGATGAGGTTTCTATTCAGATGGTTGCACCAAATGGGGATGATGAGGGATGGACCACAACAGAAAAGTGAAATCTATTTCCAGAGGTCCCTTATAGAGCCTGAGCTGGCAAAATTTCCCCCTATTCCCTTGTGTGTTATACCAGACAGTGGTTCTCAAAATGTGGTCTTTGGAGCTCAATAATCACAGACCCTTCAGAATATGATACAAGTTCAAGTTTGAGAACCACTGGCTGATCTCATTTCAAGCAGTAGTGTGTCAGCCTATTCCAAAAGATCTTTGCACTCCTTGCTGTCAGCCTCCCTAGGCTCATCCTTGGTTCTGTTCCCTTTAGTTTTAAGGTCTTTCTCCATGCTTGCTTTAGTGAAAGAACTGGGCTTAGTCACCAATTTCAGAAATTACCAAGCTTCTGTGATTGGTTGGGGCTGGAGTTTTCAAACTCAACACAGGACAATTGGGTTCAGAAATCTGAAAAGACGAGCAGACAACTCAAAGAAGGAATATTCAATATAATAGCAAAAAACAGACATCCAAGGAAGTGGTCTTCCTTTGCTAGTTATCTGGTAATTTTCCTAAGCCTCTAATAAGTTGCCGTGGAGGCAGATAGAGTGAGCATTCAGCACAAAGGTAGATGACAAGGCCTATTGTGTCAAGCCCTTAATGACCAGGGTTTTCCAAACTCACAAGTGGATTAGAAACCAATAAAGGGTTATGGAAGGAATTTCTAAACATGATTTGGTTACACTATACGCAAGAGCAGCAGGAACATCAGAGAGCCCATGGGGCACATGGGGAAAACTAGGCTTGTCTAGTAAGATGTGACACAGTAAGATTCAAACCCTGTTTACTAGGCAGAGGCTGTAACCAATTAAGCCATGGTGCAAAAATACATTCTCCTGCTTTGAAAATCCTGTCCAGTTCAGGATGTGGAGAAGGAGCTGTCTTGGAGGCCCTGGTCTGCTACCTCCTCCAGTTTCTCTCCAGTGAAAACAGACTGTCCCCAGTGGCTCTCTAAGATTGAAAGGTTATACAAAGCTGCCAGTGTTCTTCAACTCCAGGCCTCAAGCTCCCTGCCTCTTTTCCCATCACCACTTCCATTTTCCAATAGGTAGCACTCTTCCTGCCTTCCTTCTTACCTTTTTAAAATTTTTTTATTTGTTTTTGTTGTTGGGCCTGTGCCACACCTTCCCAAGCATATTTGTTCTTCCTAGCTCCCATCCTTTTGCAATCCTACTTTTGAAACTGGAGTTTTGGATCCAAGGCCCAAACTCCTGAGATGCCAGGTCCAGCCACTTGCCCCAAAATTCCAAAGAGGCATGGTGAAGGTAGAAAAGGGCAATTTATAACAAGGCTTGGGACATGTGAGAAGAGGCAGAGTAAGCTCAGCTCATCTTCAGCCATCTTCCACGATATAGACATCAGCTATATATTAAAGTAGACAAAGAACTGGGGACAGACAAAGGTTTGCATAGTTAAACAGTTCCCATTCTGGTTGACCAGTATCTCGGTTTGAGGGTTCCAAAAGGGGTTTCAGAGATGTTATCGTTGTCATCACTTCAAGGAAGCAATCTGGTTTCCAGATTGGGGAACCAGATTGCCCCTGCTCCATAGTGCAGCCTTATCAGTACAGGTAATTGCTCTCATTTGGAAGGGTGCTCTATCCTGCAAGTCTCCACTGTTCCTAACAGCACTGTCATAAAGATATTACCAGTTCTGTCCTTTCTGGAGTCCAAGGTGATCGCAAAGTGACTGAAAGAGAATGGCTTAGAGCAAAGACAGAAACAAAATGGAGGCAGGGGTTCCAAGCTTCTGTTTTTAGTTAATTGGTGGACCCAAGTAAGGAGTCAGTGTTTTTCAGCAAAAGCAGTTTAAGCACCTCTTGCAGTCACTTTCCACTTTTCGCTCATTTAATTTATTCACTCACTACCCCCCCCTCCCGCGAAGCAAAATGTCTTATCTCTACAAGCAGTATTTTGCGTGCCTACTATGTGCCAGGCGCTGGCAGTTCCAGGCCTGGGAAATCAAGTGTGACCGTAGTCACTGTTCTCCGCGTGTTCTCCAGCCAAGCCCTCCCGGGTCATCGCTTTCCTGCCTTGGCTCTTGTCACTACGTCCGCGCTTGTGCCTCTTCCAGAACAGATTGTCCTTCCACCTGTTATCCAGCCCAGCGGCTCCAGCCTGCGGGATTTTTAGCTGACTTGCTTCTTTAGTCTATAACTTTAGGGATTTATAATATGAGATTTACAGTCTCTATCAGCTGAATAAAGCGAGGCCATATCATTAAATTCGTCTTTTGGTCTTCTCCAGTTTTCTTTCCTTTCCCTGCTCTTCTCTCCTGATAAAAAGGGGGCGGGAGGCGGATTTGAATCGCAGAGTTCTGAGCCTGGCCGATCTCCCTGCGCCGCTCCTGATCCAGACGCCTGGAATCGCCACAGGGTGGGCCACCTCGCCTCCGTCCTGTCCTCTCCCCAATTTGCTGCGGACACGACCCAATTTGTGGGCTGCAGGGTAGAGCGGGCCGGGACCAGCGAGAGCCGAGAGGGCCCAGGGCGCAGTTTGAGAGGCATGAAAGTGTCCACCCTGCTTTAGGGGACGCCTGGAGTGGTGCGCCTCAGGTAGTGGCGGTGACGACTGCGAATTGACCCCGTAGGCAAGTTCTCAGAAACTGAGTATTTCTCTGGAGCTAGGTGCGGCGCGCACAAATGGGGTGTTCACCTGAGAGTATCCAGAGGACAGGTACGAAGTGGTTTCAGGAAGAAACCTAGGCGGCGGGGCGTGGACGGGAACGCTGGCCAATGACCCACTGACCAAGCCTCTGGGACCGGAAGACGAACCCAAAGGCTGGATCTTCCCCAGTGGGAGATGCCAGGAAGCGCTTCAAGCCCTGCTCAGGGGGTGCGCCTCAGACACCGCTGCAGTTTTCTTTACACCAACCAGACTGTTTTGTCACCTCCAGGCTTCTTATGTTTCCTTATTTTGTGTTCCCTCTCACTTCTCCCCAGCCACGTGGAGAAATGCTTTTGACAAGTCTGGTCTTTTCCATCACCAAAAAGGATTAGAGGTAAGGGAGTTGAGAAACGCAGCCACGGTGATGTTCACTTACTGCTTTCTCAGCAAGCTTCAATGGACTATCAAAATCCTGACATCCTTCTATCTTCTATCTACCTTCATTCAAGTCCTGGTGTTAATATCCCTTCAGACTTTTTTCTCTTCCAAATCCTTTGAACTGAGGTGTGTGTGTGTGTAAGTCTTGTCATGTGAATTTTTCCAAACAGCCTGTATTCATGTCTTTCCTAGGTACTTAAGTTTTGGATGTAGTTACCTTCAGCCCACTTAGACATCCTTGTCATGTTAGAGCTCCCTGTAGAAGAACGGGAGAGATCTGTTGTTTTGAGAACATTGACAAATGGAGATGTTAACATGTTCTGAAAAATGGGCTGAAAAACTGAGAACATTGTTCCCCTCTGAAGATTAAAATACCCTGTAGAAATGGATCTAAACTTGTGACCTAAAGGATGGTTTGTGGAGTTAATGAGCCCCACTCAACATCTGGAATTGGAGAGAGCACTGGATTTTCAGTTAAGGACAATTTCTAAATTGTACACTTTCTAAACATTGGCTTTTCCATCTAAGACCTAAGAGATTGAGGTGAAGGTAAGATGAGGTAACTCATACATGCAGTAGTACAAACCACCTTATAAGCAAAAAAGCCACAATTGATAATTATGTGGAAATTCCTACCTTCATTTTAACAAGTTACAATTTATGTGGTTCTGAAAACAAATACAAAAAGATATAGTAAAGTGTCATATTCATCCCCTAAAATTCCCATCACCTTCCCCTCACAGTAGAGAGGCTACTTAGGTTATAGAAACTAATTAGGTTTGTTTGTTGTTATGCGATGCTGGGACTGAAACCTAGGGCTTTGTGCGAGCTGGGGGCAGGCAACTCTACCTCATATCAACATCCTCAACTCCACTTAGATTTTTTCCTTTTTCTTTTTCTTTTGGCATATTCTTCCAGTCTTGCAGTTATATTTAGATTTTCCTTTACTTTACGCAAAAGGTAATATAGTATACTCAGTCTCGAACCTTTTTTTTCATTAACTATGTCTTGGGGAGCTTGTCATAACAGTAAAGAACTCCTTCCTTTGTACACCTGCATGCTATTTCACTGCATGGAAGCTTCAGTTTAACTTATTTCCTAATGACATTTTAATTATTTCCATTTTTGTTAATGCAATGCTGCACTAAATACATTAGACATAAGTCATTTAATTTGTGTAGAAGTTTATAAAGGTAAATCCCATTGCACTTTTATTTTTTTGGTGGTACTAGAGATTGAACTCAGTGCCTCAGTCTTGCCAGGCAGGTGCTCTACTACTTCAGCCATGCCCACAGCCCTTTATTGCTTTAGTTGGTTTTTGGAATAGGCTCATTTTTGCCTGGAGCTAGGAGCCTCCTATTTCTTGCCTCCTGCCTCCTGAGTAGCTGGGATTACAGTGTGAGCTACCATGCCTGGCCTTTTCTTGAGATGGAATCTTGCTAACTTTTGGCCTGGACTAGCCTGGAACTGTGATCCTCCCAATTTCTGCCTCCCAGCTAATAGCTGGGATTATAGGTGTGAGATACCATGCCTGGCCACATTTGTAGTTTTGATAGTCAATTTCCTCCATTTGGATTTGCAACAATTCATACTCCCAGCAACATTGTGAATGCCTGTTTCTCCTTAGCTTCACCAACAGAGTAGGTTCTCAAGACATTTGGATTTTGGCCCATATGATTAAAAATACTATCTTATTGTTTTAAATACTATTTTATAAGTTGGACCTTTTTCATATTTTTTAAGGCCATTTGTATTTTCATCAACTGTTTTTTAAACAATCATTGAACATTTGATGCTAGAGGGTATCTAAGGTTCATTATGACTCTAAAGTCCAACAGTCAATGAAACCCACTATATAGTTATCTTTAAAAAAATGTTTTGTTTTGTTTTTTTACAAAACTGGAGAACAGGAAGGAAGGCAGGACAGGTCCTGTCTTGGGATTGGCACCAGTGGGAGGGCAGAAGGTGTAAGGAAAGGGTGTAGGAGGGTGAATATGATGGAAATATTATGTACACATGAATATAAATGGCAAAATGAGACTTGATGAAACTATTCCAAGAATAGGGGAGGGGAGATAGGGAAGTGGATGGAGGGGGTGAATTCAACTATGATATGTTGTAGCAACTTGTGTAAATGTCACATTGTACCCCTAGTACAACTATAAAAAAAATACAGTCTAACAGTTATCTGACTGGTATTATACTAAGCAGTTGAGGTAAAAGGAAAGCAAAGAATTGGAGCTGGAGACATTCCATTTACTGACAAATACCCAAATATGTCACTCGAATGTTAACACAGAAAAGTGGGGATTATGTTTTATCCATTTTAGTGTTCCCAGCCCAGGGTCCAGAATCTTGTATTAATGACTGTCCCTCTAGTGTTAAGATCAGGATAATCTGGATAGCTTGCCATTGAGTTAGGGTGATTTCCTATATTTCATTGGACTACAGTCACCCTAGAGCTTATCATCAGAAATAATCTGAAATGACCACTGCTGGCTTCGTGAGGTCAGAAACTGGGTCTCATTTGCTGTATAAGGTAAACACTTAATTTTTAAGTTTTACTGAATGAAAGAAAGTTTGCTTAAATGAAGAATCAATAATACAAACAGAATTGTGATGATTCCTAGAAAAATTAGGAAACGAATTGTTGCCAAAGTCATTCCAAACCTATGTTAGGGGAAAAAGGCTAATTCTAGACCACCTTATTCTTTGGGTTAAAACATTCTAGAATTATAAAAGGGCAATTTATCTATCCCCAGAGCATTTAGTTCACTTTGTTCTAGCTGTGTTCAATGGACAATATTTCACTTTCTGTCTCTTTTCAGATGACTCTCCATTCTCTGTTTCATTTTGCTTCTTACATTCAGGTGCTTAGTAAACTTAATTATAGCATGGGGAAATTTCAAATTTCAGATCACCTCTAGATGAGACTCATTGCAAGAATGTTGCTAATACTTGGCTCTGCACAGGCTTAAAGCAGTGATTCTAATGGGTGTGATCAGGAAAATCGTAGCAGAACTTAAGTTTTTTGTTTGTTTGAAATACACGTTGTTGTTCCCCTTGTGCAAGACACCAGGTTCTCTGGAAAAAATCTGATCAGGTATATATCAGAAAAAAATTCCCAGGTGGTTTCAATACCTTCCCATCTCTACCTCTTTTCAAGAATAAAAACTTTCCAGAAGTGTCCCCCACTCCTTTGGCATCATTTGGAAACAGAAAATCCTTTCCCTGAATTAGTCTGGTATTTTACTTCTCTAGGAACTCTTCTGTGTTCTGTCATAGTCTATGGTGTGAAACTACCCCCATGCTGTTCTAACCTCTGCAGTCACAACTAAAAGCATACATTTCTTCCCCACTTGGTATGTATCCAATACACGTAGTTCCAGAAAAGCAAAAGACCTAGACATTATCTATTCTTCCCTCTTACAGTATTTCTGATATGCACTCAAACCTTCATAATTCCCTATGAATCAGAATTCCCAGTTGTTAATTCCCTTATTGTTGAATTTCATCAAGGAATATACCATGATATTTAAGACCCTCTTATCATTTAACTGACACTTAAAATCACCTAAAATCATCCTAGCACAGTCCCAACATTTCATGGGGAAGGTGTTCAGACCACAAATGTTTAAGGAATAGTGCGGCTAAGTTCAGAGGTGCAGAACTTTGACAAGAATCCTGGTCTTGGTTCTGTAGTGTTCTGCTCCAGAATATTACAAACCGTCAGGAATTATTTATATACACTTAACTCTCAGCAATGAGCACCAAGCCCTGTGCTGGAAGCTTTCCCACCCTACCTCATTTAACGGAGGATTCACAAGTAAGACAATTTAAAATTTAAAATAGGGAATCTAACAGGGCAAAAACTACAAACTCATTAGAAGTAATTTGGGGAGATGGAACTTTGTCCTAAAAAAGTATTTCAGATAAGAACACTTTGGATAAGTAGGACACTCAAAAATTGTCTGCTCTTCGAACATGCCCTCCTCCCCAAAACTCGATTAGGATTTCTGAGTGCCTATCGTTAATTCAGGACTTCTGTCTAACCTTGTTACTTTGGTGGTTTTCTTTTCTTCTGAAAGGTGTGTCTCTGGGTCCCCCCAGCAAGAACAGAATCTCAACTCCTTTTACTCTGTTCCTCTCACCATCCCCCCTCAGGTGAGGGTACACCTCACCTCAGTACCCATCCCCTTTCCAGCTCAGAGGAAAACAGACAACAAAACAATGGAAATGTCTTTAAATAGCTTCAATGAGAGTGACAGCTGCTCTCTTTGGAGCCTAGGCTCAAAGGCATTGGTGCCTGGAGGAAGGGAAGCCTTTCCCACACTATGGATTCCCGACTGCATTTCGAGGACCTTCAGATTTAGTGGAAGTTTTTGTGCGCGCCTTCCCCTGTCCGCTGGAGGCACGGTCGGTTTTAACCTCAGTTGGCTGTTGGATGGTCCGTTTTACCGGCTTCTCGGGTTCCTGCTTCTTCTCTTCTCTGAGCTTGGAGCTTGGCCTCTTCTCCTCTCGTGAGCTAGGCCTGGTGTCTTCCTTGGAGGGCCGTCCTCGCCCCTCGACCATCACTTTGGCCCTGGCTTCTTCCTTGACTCTGGCACGAACCGATTCTCTGGCCCTTGGCTTGGCCCTCCTGGCCTTGGCATTTACGCGCGTGCAGCGTCTCCACACCTCCCTGGCCTTCTTGGCCGCTTGGCGCCTTGTGCGTCGCCTCCTTCGGCTCCGCGGCTGGGGCGGGGTCCTCCTCAAACAGCGGCGGCTGTCGGCCAGCCTGGGGCGCCCCGGCTTTTTCTTGGGTTTGGGAATCTTCCAGACCCTGAAGTAGCCTGCGGCGTCGCTGCCGCTGACCCGCAGGAGCGTGCCCTTGACCTCAGACCTGGACGCTTCGCCCGCGGGGCGGCCGACCTTCCTGCGCACTTCGTAGCCAGCGTTGCCGAGCTCCTTCTTGAGCGCCGCCAGGGTCAGGCCGCTGTGCTCGCCGATGACCTGGAGCAGCAGCTGGGACACCTTGAGCACCGAGCGCGGGGCCCGCCTGGGCAGGCCCGCCAGGAATCTTTCCGCGGGCTGAGGCTGGGTTTTGCCTTCAGCCCGTTGAGATTCGCCATTGAGCTCGGCAGCTTCAGCCATGGCCCCGCTTTCCCCTGCGCGGGGCCGCTGGCTTTGAGCTTGCCTTGGGCCTCACCTGCCAAGGCATAACCGACGCTCGGGCTGGTGGGCCACGTCACAAACGGGGGTGGGGGCCCCGACTTTTCAGGACCGGGTTAGAGGACTGGCCCATCCCACGTGTGGGGAGAGGGGTGGGTTACTTTTAATTACCAGCCGCTTCCTTCTAGGTCTAAACCAATCCATATCTTTAGCGCGCCTGTTATCGCTAACAATCACCTATAAGGTCTCTAGGGTTTTGTTCTGAGCTTATAGTAACTGAACTTGATCTCTATTACTTTCTGAAGTCCGTTGTTTTCCTGCGGCCCCACACATTTCCCTAAGATGAGCTGCCCCCAACTCTCCAAGCAATACAGTGCTGGCAAAAAGTAAATGTGGTCATTCTTGAAACACAACCCGGCCTAGAAATCCCACCAGTAAGGTATCTGCTGTCACTGCTCCCTGACTCTGCACGGTGGAATCTGTGCAAGAGCAGGAAGCAGAAGGAGGAACCACTGTGGTCCTTCTAAACATTTCTTCCCATACCTGGGAAGTTCAGATGATTCATTTAGTTGGAGCAATAGAGATTTCAAATCACCTAAGAACACTGGTCTCGTCATTGTTCTTTGGACACACTTCGTGCTTTTCTATCTCTCATTCTTCTTGGTTTGCCCATTCCCGTTCTTTGCCCACATAAACCCTTCTCTTCTTTTTAAGTTCTTCCTAAATCCTCTTTTTTTCACTGAAGCTCTTTCAATCAAATGATTCAGTCACCTCTAAATTACCGTACCTACCACAGTTATTTTTGCAATCTTATATGGCTTTTTATTTTAATTTTATATTTAATGGTACAATATAGCTTTTTTTTTTTTTAAAAGAAAAGAACACTTGGTCTTGGAGCTTGAAGACATGGCTCTTTAACAGCCATACGACATTGATAAATCCCTTAAGATTTTCAAGTCTGATTTTCTTATTTAAAAGGACAGCAAGTCCTGCTTCTGATGGTAATGAGGCAATGAGGGAATCCCTCATTTCTTCAACTGTTATCCTCATTACCGTCAGAAGCAGCTTTGTCTCTCAATGACACCAAAGATATGATGGTATAACACCTCAAGTGAGAATTCCGACTTAAAGACAACTCACAGTCTTCACAATGATGAAATATTTGGTAAGATTTTCTTCTTATACTGGATTCTTTATGACCTATCAGCTTCCACCTTTCTTAAGGTTTCAGAAAAACAGTGCTGTTCATTTCCAGTTTCCTTTACTGGGTGTTTGGGAAATACTCCCCTTTCATCGTTCCTGTTCCATTTTCTTATATGCTCTTCCATTGACCACCAAAATAATAAATAAAATTGCAGTTTATACTTATTTTTGAAAAGCTATGTTTAAAAAAAACTATTGGGGGGGACCTTTGTGAAGCTTCAAGAGAGGTAAAAAAGAATTTTTGAACAGTAAAAAGTTGGAGATCAGGATTAGTTTCCAAATGCCTTAATTATCCAGAAGTGTGTGAAATCTCCTTCATCTAATATTTTAGAATCTGAAAATATGAACTTTCTGGAAGACAAGGACCAGACTGCAAGTAATTACTTTGCAGAGTGCCTATTATGTTGGCACTTTACAAGCTGTCAGATACAACTGGTACTTTCTATTTAGTTTTTTTTTTTTTTTTTTTTGGCAGTACTGGGGCTTGAACTCAGGGCCTTACACTTACACTTACTAGACGTGCTAGCCAGGCAATCTACCACTTGAGCCACTCTGCTAGCCTACTTTCTTTTAATTCACTAATTGTTGATATATGGCCATTTTTCATATGCTCCTTGTCTTAATGAGTCCTTTCTTCCTGATCTATTCACCTTAAAAACTTTAAGATAAAAGTACCAAGTCTCTTTGTCATGTGCTAATAATAACCCCAGTGTCTATAGTTGAATAAGGTTGAAGAAAGCACCTTGAGTCCTATAAAACTAAAATAGTATGCAAAGGTCTTGGCAGAGAACGGCAAAGAAGATATTTAGTCAAGAAAGCCTGGCATAGGCAAAGACATCTTTTCTTCTCACAGATTGCAGATTTCTGAATAATGAAGGAAGAATGCCTCTCCCTCTCCCAATCAACCTGCAGGTGTTCCATTCTCCATCTGATCTCTCCTACTACAGGTTCTCTGGAGTGGCCTTCCCCCATTCTCCTGCCCATCAGCAAGTTTTGACCTGCCATGTTATTAAAATGAACTCCCACAGTGTTATTTCTACTTTATGCCTTTACAATAGAAGATATGCTGTTTTCTTTTTCTTTCTTTCTTTTCTTTTGGCAGTGCTGGAGCTTGAACTCAGGGCCTCACGCTTGCTAGGCAGGTGCTCTACCACTTGAACCACTCTGCCAGCTATTTTTTTTTTTTTAATATTGGGAATTTTTGAGATAGGGTTTCATGAACTACTTGCCTGAGCTGGCTTTGAACTGCAATCCTCCTGATCTCTGACCCCTGAGTAGCTAGGATTACAGGGGTGAACCACCAGCACCTGGCTGTTTTCTTTACTGAATGTTTAGTATAATGCTTTTACTTAGAGACATAAATTAACTTTTAAGTGTTTTTAAAAATAAATAAAGCTAAATAAGATACTGAATAGTATTGTAGAATTAATTTTATTATTCTCCTTTAATAGTTAGTTGGGAAAAGTGGATTTTTCCAGTTTTTACTTTTGCAAGTATGCTACAGTGACTATGCCTTTCAGTTTTTCTTGGTTTATATTTATGTAATAATCTCTCTGGAAGAGATTTTTTAGAAATATGTGATTGAAGAGTATATGAATTTAATATTTTGGTAGATATTGTCAAATTGTTCTTCAAAACATCTGGATGATTTTTAATTTCTACCAATAGCATTTCATTGTTTCAGTTTCCTCATTGGCACAGTTAGCCAAGCAGAAGATGGTGCCATTCCCTGAACCTCCAGAATCATAAGCTAAATAAATCTTCCTTTTATTTTTATTTATTGGTAATGGAGTTTAGTAGATGTAAGGGAAAAGCATTACAAATAGCAATGGTGGCCCCATCTTGCCAGGTAGGCCAAGTTGGGATGGAAGCAGGAAGCAGAGAGAGAGTAAATAAATCTTTCTTTATAAAGTTACACAGATTTAGATATTTCATTATAGTAATGAAAAATAGACTAATACAACTATTCATTTTTCTTCCTTTTTTTGTGAATTGTAGTTCCTACCCTTCCCTAATTTTTCACTGGATTATTTGTTGACTTGTAAGAGCTCTTTATATATTTTATGAGAAACAAAAAGGACAGATGTCTGTCAGTGCTAGCTTGCAACTAGTACTTAGACACAATTGTTATCTACTTAATATAAACAACTTCAGAGCACACTAACATAAGGACAGGTTGTTCTATGAGCACTACAAAAATATCAACACTGGTGCATGGTGGAAATAAGGAGGTGACCAATGTATGACTTCAGGAATTACATGATTTATTACCATAAAAGAGAATTTTTCTTAGATTTCTATGCTTAGAGAAGAATTACATGAAGAACTCTCACAGGGAATATACTTAATAGACAAGGTGCATTAACTCACCTAATGGGTGAGTTCCAAAATGATCAAAGCTCAGTTGCTCAATTAGGATAGAATTAGGCCTTTGTGATCTATGACAGTGCCTGAGGTCCCTCAATACTAGAGGGTGGTACTTGTGCAGGCAAGGCTTCAAAGTTCCAAGTCTAACAGGATGTCACCCTCTTGCAGCTGGAGCTCTCAATTTTTGGAGACAGCATCAATAGATTGTTGCTTGTCAGAGCTTTTTCACTGGGTCCTTGGAGAAGCAGCTGACAAGAGGGTAGCCTCACATGGCCTAAGGCTCTCAAAGTAGTGGTGAAAGTTGAGTCTGTATGTATTTTGAAGTCCTGTAGTTGAGAAGAGTAACTCAAATATGGGGGTTCTGATAAGGTTTGATGTAACATTCCTGAGGGGAATTCATTCCAAATTCTCATATATGAGATCTGATAAGATGTCACACTCTTAAAGGAGGGTGCCAAAACAAAAACATCATGTAACAAGCTAAATGTTTGAAATCACTTCCAAATTACACAAAAAACACTCGGAAATTACGCCTGAGCACAGATAAAAACAGTGATCATTTGGAAACACAAGAGACCGTGAATAGCCAGGCAATACTCGGCAAAAAGAGCAATGCTGGAGGTATCACAATACCTGACTTCAAACTATATTACAAAGCAATAGCAGTAAAAACAGCATGGTACTGGCACAAAAACAGACATGAAGACCAGTGGAATAGAATAGAGGACCCGGATATGAGTCCACACAACTATACCCACCTCATTTTTGACAAAGGTGCCAAAAATATACAATGGAGAAAAGACGGGCTCTTCAACAAATGTTGCTGGGAAAAGTGGTTATCCATCTGCAAGAAACTGAAACTAGATCCATGTCTATCACCCTGTACTAGTATCAACTCAAAATGGATCAAGGACCTTAATATCAGACCCAAAACTCTGAAGTTAGTACAGGAAAGAGCAGGAAACACTCTGGAACTAATAGGTAGAGGCAAAGACTTCCTCATTAGAACCCCAGCAGCTCAGCAACTAAGAGAAAGGATGGACAAATGGGACTTTATAAAATTAAAAAGCTTCTGCACAACAGAAGAAATGGTCTCTAAACTGAAGAGACCACCCACAGAGTGGGAGAAAATATTTGCCAGTTATACATCAGACAAAGGACTGATAACCAGAATATACAGGGAACTTAAGAAACTAAACTCTCCTAAAATCAATGAACTAATTAAGAAATGGGCAAGTGAACTAAACAGAACTTTCTCAAAAGAAGAAATTCAGATGGCCAAAAAACACATGAAAAAATGCTCACCATTTCTAGCCATAAAGGAAATGCAAATTAAAATCACACCAAGATTCCACCTCACCTCTGTTAGAATAGCCATCATCAAAAACACCAACAACAACATGTGTTGGTGAGGATGTGGGGGAAAAAGGAACCCCCTAATCCACTGC